GAAACTCACTCTGTAGATCAGGCTGTCCTCACACTCACAGAGATCCTCCTGCCTCTGCCTCCTGAGTGTTAGGATTAAAGGTGTGTGGCACCACAATGCATCCAAGCAGCTCAATAGTCTCCGTGTAGGATGAACAGAGAAACAGACCCAGCACAGTGAACACTTGAAGGCCCAAATCAGCAGCTCATGGACCTGTGAAGGAGTGGTATTTTCTGTGCGTCATGCTGGTGAATTAAGACGCATAATGTAAACCATATCCAACAAGTAGATCACTACCAAGTAGCATTAAAATCATTTTTAAAAATTAAAATGTTACATTAGAAAGGAAAGAAATAAGAAATAGAGGAATTAATAAGACAATGTATAAAACAGAAATTCATGGTAGGAGTAAATCAAACTACACCGATAATACTAAAAGTGAATGGATTAAAGAATCCAATCAAATGCGGGGATTTTTCGAATTGGGCATAAAACTCAAGATCCAACCAATTAGATGCTATCTCCAGGAGACTCACTTCAGATACAAATATCTGAATGGATTAAAAGTAATCACTAGAAAGCCAGGTGTACCACCATGAGAAAAAACAGACTTTTTGGGTTTGTTTTAGTTCTATTTTCTTTTGGTCCTAGGGATTCAACCCAAGGTGTGCTTGCAAGTGCTAGGTAAGTGCTCTACCTAAGCTACATCTCTAATCCTAATACAGGCTTTAAAACCAAAAAGAACGTCACTAGAATGAAAAATTTAAAAAGGATCAACTCATCAGAAAGATATAGAAAGATAGGGAATATCTAGTAAGATAACATCAAAGCACATGGAAAAAAACAGACAATTGAAGACAAAGAAGTAATTCAGCAACAGTAGTTGGAGACACTGGTATCTGCATTTAATGGATAGAGAACTGGGCAGAACATCAACAAGGCTACAGGAGACATAAACAGCCCTGTCAGCCAGCATGCCTAGCAGACAGCCCAGCACACCCCACCCAACCTTCTCCCAGGCCAGTCTCCGGGCCAGCCACATGCTGAGCTCCATGAGAGCCTCAGTGCTGTTAGAAGGGATGAACAATACAAGGCAGTTCTCTGACCACAGTGGAATAAATTCAGAAATCATCAGAAGGTATTTGGAAAGCTCACAAATATGTGGCCATTAAACAACACATTTCTGAACAACCAGAGAGTCCGAAAGGAAAACTTAGGAAAATATGGGATGGCATATGAACATCATGACAGCCTGCAGCCTGCGATGTGGCTCATGGAGCAATTCATAGTTACAAACATTGGCAATGATGGAAGAAGGTGTGGAGCCTAGGAAGGCAGCTCGGTGGCTGTGTACAATAAAGACCTGAGCTTGGATCTGCAGAAGCCACGTGAAGGCCTGGTCATGTATGCCTTATATAATCTGCATGTTGGGGGCAAAAATAGGAGGATCCCTGGGGCTTGTTGGATGGCCAGTTTAGCTGAATTGGTTAATTCTAGTGAGAGAACTGGCTTTCAAAGTAAGTTAGAGGGCTGGAGAGATAGCTCAGCGGTTGAGAGCACTGACCGCTCTTTCAGAGGGCCTGTCTTCAATTCCCAGCAACAAGATGGTGGCTCACAACCATCTGTAATAGGATCTGATGCCCTCTCCTGGTGTGTCTGAAGACAGCTACAGTGTACTCACATACATAAAATAAATAAATCTTTAAAAAAAAAAAAAAGTAAGTTGGAGAAGTGACTTAGAAGACACCAGATGCCAGCATCTGGTCTCACATAGGAGCACACACATGCACACATCACACACACATGTACATGCACATATCACACACATATTATATACACGCACATATATCAAACACATATACAAGCACATATCACACCCACACACACATACATACATGCACATATGACACACATACATATCTCACACACATATACATGCACATATCACACACACATACATG